GATTTTACTAACACAGCTGTTCCTGACCTTTGGGTCAATTATCCTTTTAACAATTAATAAAAGCTATGGGCCTTCAGAACAAAATTTAGATACAATTTCAGGAAATTCATGAATCACGTCAGGGTAATTGTGACCTGAGAGACTGAATTATTAATGGCATAACTATTCATTTGGTGTACATGACCAGTTAACACATCAGTATTGGATTCCAGGGACAAGGGTAAATAGGGTGTAATTTCTATCTACAAGATACTTTCACAAAGTAAACCAATAATCCTAATACAGTGCTAAATGTGCTATAAAAAAAATGCTGAATACGGAAAATGATGAGGCCAATTACTAATTTTTAAAAGATTAGGAAGGTTTGAGAGTACTAAGAGCATTTTAGGAAATTCCAGACTAAGGAAAATAGAAATAAGTATGGTAAGCCAAGTAAAGAGGATAGAAGGCTGTGAAGATTGGCATGATTCGAACAAAGTTATGTCAGGAGAGAATGTTAAGCCACATTAAGGAGTTTGAGCTTCTTATCCATACAAAAGCCATTGTATGGCTTCTAGTAGAGTTATAAAAAAATCAAATTCATGGTAAAAAGATGACTTTGGCTGCTGGGTAGAGATCGATGAGAAGCAGACAAATGTCAGGGCAGAGAGACCAGTGAAGGCAGATATGAAAGAAATTCAGGAGAAAAAACGTGGAGGCCCAAATTAAAAGAAATTAAAAAGTTGAAGAGATAATCATTTACATATCACCATATAAAGCAGCCCTCACTCATCATCAGGTGGTCCCACAGGTTCACTGCTTTTTGGCTTTTGTGAGAATGTCATTGTTTAACGTTTCACCTTAATCTGGGATCTACAAATTACTTCTGTTTCCTCATCCATAAATAAAGCTACCTACCTCAAAGAGGTTTTGTTTTGTATTTTTGATGTTAAGTGAGGTAATGCTTAGAAAATATTTACTACTTGGCATAATTGGTGTTCATGAATATAAAATATTTATTATCTCATTATTTATATTATTACATTATTATTTCCCCTACAATTTTACCTTGACTCCACCTGCCCATGAGCCTTTTTGGAAATACAGTTGTGTGCTTGAATTTTAATTTATTAAACTAGTAGAATATTATATCAGATTAACTCATTCAATGTCATCTATTAATGACATATCCCGGTTTTAACAGGAAAAATGATTTTACAAAATTGGAAGTTGAGATAATTATCTGTGCACTTCATAATAATTTTTCTAAGAAAATCTATGCCTTTGCTCTGTTGCATTTCAGAATGCCATTTAGGAGTCAGAGGCTTTGATGGATCACCTACAGGGTAACATAGAGATGTACAGGGCAAAGCCAAGGGCCACAGAATAATATTTCTAGGCCTTGAAAGTTAATAGAGGTTACACAGCTGGTTTTTGAAACTGCTTTGACTATTGACTCCACTTTTTATGCCTCTTTCTCCCTGTTTAAACCACAATATCTGTAAACTATTACTTCATGCCTCTCCCATCATTGCATGTTGGAACAGGTAACTTATTCCTACAGTTACAAAGGTGCACAGATGAATGGGAATTGTGCCCCTGAAGTGTAGTTGACAGATTATACACAAAGCTTCACCTGCACCTGATTTATAACATTGAGGTGATAAGATTTGGAACTTTTGAGGTGATTTTATAATAGGATAAGACTTTTGGGGACCTTGAAATGGTGTTAATGTGTTTTGCGTTTGGGAAGGACATGAATCTTTGGGCAGCAGAAAATGGACTGTGGTTGGTTGGGCAGAATGATGCCCAGATATGACCACAAAATAATCCCCCAAGCCTGTGAATACATTATGTTACATGGCAAAACAAATATTTTTCAGATAATACTAACATTGAAAACTTTTAAATAGGGAGATTATGCTGGAACATCATCATGTGCACCATCTAATCAGATAAGCTTTAAAAGTAAGGACATTTCTTTAGATGGAGGCAGAGAAATGTGGCATAAGAGGAATTCAGAGAAATTCCAAGCTTCAGAAGGACTCACTACTGCACTGCTGACATTGAAGTTGGGTGGGGGGAAGTGACTGCAGCCCTAGAACTACAAGGAGCAGAACTCTGCCAATAACCTGAATGAGTTGAAAGTGGATTCTTCCTCAGAGCCAGCTACTTAACACATTGATCTTAGCCTTTGAGATTCTAAGCACAGAATCCAGATGAAACGTATTTCTGGACTTCTGACCTATAGACACCATGGGAGAATAAGTTTGCATTAAATTTCTTTAAAAAAATAAATTAACGCTTCAATATTTATTTCAAAAGTGGTTAACTCTATGGAACAATCCTCAAGAAACTATCTTGTCATTAGCTTTTTTTTTTTTGGTGGTGGTGGTACGGGGTGAAAATTGAGTCTATAATTGTGTTTTCCCCTTTCTCTGAAACCTATTCTGAGTCACAGAAGAGAATTAATTTACACTTTTTAAGCTCTTCCCAAATGCCCTATTCCTGAATGATAGAAGCCAACAGTCATCATACCGGAGGCTACTTTTCATCACTTTTTCCAGATATTATTATTTACTTAACTTTAGTTATCTTAGTTATCTTGAGATGTTTTGAAATATTTTGTTTGTGAGTTCATTTTGGGTATATCTGTTTTTCCTTAATCTCTCCACCTTTCTCTGCTTTCTTGTGTGTATCAATCTGCTTCGGCTGCTATAACAAAATGACATAGAACAAGTACCTTAAACAACAGACACATCTCTCACAGTTCTGGAGGCTGGGAAGTCCAAGATCAAGGTATCAGCAGATTTGGTTCCTGGTGAGGGCCCTCTTCCTGGTTTGCAGACAGTGCCCTTCCAGGCTTCTTGCACTCCCTCCCCACCACCCCACTGCCATCTCTCTTCCTCTCCTTATAAAGCTACTAATCCCATCATGAGGTCCCCATCCTCATGAGCTCATCTAACCATAATTACCTTCCCAAAACCCCATCTCCAAGACATGTGACAGAATTCAGTCTACAGCACCTTGCCTGTAGGTTTAACTTTTGCTTCCACCTCCCTATCCCCACCTCAGGGCTACCAAACCAGAAAAGGTTCTTTGGCTATTCTAGGCTCCAGAATTGTGATGACTTGGGAGTCTCATATTCCAGGGATCCTAGGTCATGAATAGATGTGAAGATAAATAAGGGGCTAAGTCAGCCCTGGGACCTGAAAGGAGTCTGTATCCTAGCCTTAGATGGCTTTACATGCAGCTCCTATATGATGAAACCCCAGGCAATGGTTGGGACCCAGATTTCAGGTTTCTGTATCTTCCCAAGGCCAAGAGAAGTCCTAACATTTCACTTGGCATCTATCATGTGTATTCCTCTCATCATAGCAGCTTCCTGATACCACTGTCTTCTGCTGAAAGCATGTCTAGATCTATGGCTTCAGGCCTAATCACTGCCTTGTATTTCTGTTCCATTGCTGGTTCATAAAGATGTTATGCTTCTCTGTTGGTCTCTTTCTTTTTTATTAAATTATTTCTCTTTTTCTATACCATTTATCATTGCTATATTATTGCAACTCCTCTGAATCAAAGCCTGGCTTCTCAATGCCATCCTGACCAGGAGTCTTAATATTCATAATTAGAAATCCAGTTCATTCTTGAACAATACTGATCTGAATTGCAAAAGCCCATCTATATGTGAATTGTTTTCAACCAAATGCAGATGGAAAATAAAGTGTTTATAAGATAGGAAACCCACATACACAGAGAGGGGGGACTTTTCTTATATTTGAATTTACAGAGCTGACCGCAAGACTTGAACATTCATGAATTTTGGTATACATGGTGTCCTGGACCCATTCCCTATGTATACCAACACTACTTCTGAAAGCATAAATACTTGTATTAAACTGCGCTGTTGTTCCATTTAATGTACTATAGAGTACAATGAAGATTTGGGGATTTTTCCAATATACACTGCAAACATAGTCTCAAAAAATGTAATTGTTATTTACCTATGTAATAATGGGATTATTAGTATTTCTACACTTTATGTAGTGCCTAGTTCAGCGCCTGGTATACAGTTTTTGAATAAAAAGATGGCGGCATGCTTTTGTTTCATTTGAATAGTAAGCAACAGATTTCTAGTTAGCATAACTGCTTCTCTTTTTCCTTTGACTAAAGACTGAAAATGTATCTGAAGAACAGCCTCAATTAGTTATCAAATACTATACAGAAAGTAGGCCTATATTATAAATGAATGCAAGGTTGAAATATGATAAACAGCTACCGTTAATATCATTGTCACACCATAAAGCTGCCAGAGACATGTTCCATGAGCTGCCACCAAATTTTTCTTTTAAAACATTATAATTAATTACTTATCAATAAAATAAAATCTGCCTCAGAAACAAAATTTTTCTTAAGATTATGAATATTGAATATTCATAAACAATGAATGTTTATGAATTATTTATGAATCTTCATAAATTATGACTATTGAGACTCCTGGTCAGCACCGCATTGAGAAGGAGTCTTTGATTCAGAGGAGTTGCAATAACGTAGCAATGATAAATGGTAACAAAAGTTCACTTAACACTACACTTCATTTAAATGGCCTTCCCAAGGTCTTATACAAATAACAGAGAAAACAGCAATTCAGATCCATTAAGCTAGAGCTTGAGGCTTGCAAAAATCATAAACATTCAACTAGTTACCACTCTAAAAACTTTCATTTTTCATATATCTTATCTGGATGATGAATCTTTGGAAGGAATTTCTGGCTGCTGGTCCTAGCAACAGTATTGCATAAATAAACCCAACTGCTGCAAGGTAATGAGGTTAACAGACTTTTTCCTCTGTAGTATAAAGTTACTTATAAATATCACAAGAAAGAAAACTGAATTCTTTTCTAGTTTAAAAAAAACAAAACAAAACACTGGTAGTCTGGCATTGTATGTTTACATTTAGGCTTACTATAAAAAACCTGAGTTCAATTGGCAAAAACTTAGAAAATGCTCCCCAGACGACACTTGAGAGTTTAGCAAATATTTATTTCTTTTTCATCTAAGTTGAACCAAATAGAGATTGTACATAGTGGTACAGACAAATTACACAGTGCATAGTGGCAGATCCAAGTTATAGTCAGAGACACACTGTTAATGATCCCTGCAGCTTGCCACTAGATGATAATAAGTCTCATGGCTTATAATCAGTGAAAAGAAAGAATATGGCACACACTATTATGAACCCAGCCAAGCAAATAAAAGGATACCATACAGAAAAGAACACCCCAATATAGTGCTCTAGCTTATAACTAAGCCATTTAAACACAAGCAGAGCACAATCAATTTATAATAAAAGCCAAAACATAAAGCTATCCAAGAAAGTAAAATAAAATAAACATACCAGCTTAAATAACACTGCTACAATCAATTGAGCGTTTGTGGAAAATCTATGATTTATATCTGGTTCAAATGCAACAGTTGTTGGCCTGAAAAATGAATCCTTCTTTAAAATGGAACTCAGTGTGATGCTCTGCTGTAAGAAAAAGAACATGAACTTCTTATTATACGTGTAGCATTTTCTCCTGGGATCTCAAATATCTATACAATACTAACTACTTTTCTTAATATATTTATTAGGCTACAGATGTCACAGGTCAATTCATTTTTAAGGACAACAGCTGCTGTGTTTGTTTCATGCTTAACACCAACATTCAAAGCGATTTATTGTATTTTACAAATTTTACAAATGTTCATAATTACTACGAAGATTTACAAAACCCTAAACCCTATAGCAAATATTGAACACTCATTACAAATATTCTAAGTATTTAACTAATTTTAGAAAGAAAAAAACTCTAAAATATATATGGAATTGCCACTTACTAAACAGGCAAAGACTTTGTTCCCTTTTTTCTAGAGCTTTTATTAGTGTTTATCTTTTATCCCTGTTTCTCCAAGTTGATAGCTTTGCACTGAAATATTCAGTAATTCACACAAAAGAAAAAAAAATTGGCAATGTAGAATTAGAGACATAGAAGAGACTTTACAAATCACGAAGCAAAATCTTTCTTGTTAACAAATCTCGATCTCTTGCTCAATGGGTGGTATTGTGATGGAGGAGGTGAATGGGCATTGTTTTATGTCAAAATTCATTCTATCCACAGGTCCTCTCCCATAACAAAGAATAACATAGAAGAGGCCTAAGGAAGCAGTAGACTGACCCTTAGAAATTAGGATGAGTGGTTATGATTTTGCTCAGTGTTGCTAGAGAGCATGGTTTTTCTCCTTCTGCAAGAAAAAGAAAAAGGGGGAAATTTTGGTGAGATCAAGAGCGAACTCTTAATTCCTCCAAGTCTTGTAGATGTCTAAGTATGTACCCTCCCTGAGTTCAAAGAAGATTCATCCATTTGTAATTTTCCAAGCCTGGGCATTTCTCAGAAGAGATTCTGAATTTGAATTCTCACCTCAGACAGAACAAAATACTGGGGATATATTTCTGTGGTATGTTTTAAATTCTCAAGAAGGACAGAACAGCATGGCTTGATTTTATAGTATGTGAGGTGCGTTGTGTGTGTGTGTGTGTGCGTGCACATGTGTTGGGAGAGAGAGGAAGAGACTGAAAAATGATGAGGCATGAAACATATCCTTGGGAGCTGCTCTCTCTCCCTCCCTCTACTTTCCCAGTTCTCTTCAGTACTGCCATAAACAGGCAGGAAGCAAGATTTGTACATATATGTACATAGTGTATATGGGTATAATTATGCATAAAATTTAGTGGTCATCCTAAACTGTAGACCTGGGCCTTCACAATTTTCTTATCAGTTTTCCTTCAAATTAGCATTTTATAAACTTTATTTGGGTTTGATTGCTTTTCCTAGAATCAATTTTAGCATTTTATGGAAAATGTTTCTTTTCTGGTTAATAGTTACTTTATTTTAATCAAATGGCTGATCTGAGTGTGTACTTCTTATGACGTGTCATAGAAAAACTATTTTCCTCTGCCTATTGCTTCAGTTACCAAATATTTAGTTTACAGGTTACACCACAGTTATTATTATCTACTTGTCTGTGTTATCTCGATTAAAATGATAACTACTTATGTCTTACCTGCCTTAATTTTTTAATTTAAAATTCAGATACAGGAGAAAAATCCTGCTTTCTTTCTTGTGTGTTAGTGGAAGACTATTGTCAATAAAGTGTACTTAATTGACTTATTTGTTCAGATATAAACTTTGTAAGGGCTCTGTGATCTGTGTTTATGGTTCTATCTCTCCAAATTGAGCAGCCTTTTACTGAATATGGTTTTTTAAAAAATGCATTTCAATACATACTCTTTTCAGTTAATATTTATGGGCAATAATGACCTCCAGTGGATTCTTAGGTAAATAGCAAGCAGAATTTTTGGAGCATGTCAATTTTCAGTACATTTGCATTTCTTAGATCTTTTGAAGCTTAGTGACTTATCTGAATAAACAAATTTTTCTTAAAGTATTTATGTATTTTTTAATTTTACAATAAAATTGCAAGTGATTATGAGTTATCAGCACTTTAACTTAAACACATAACCGAAAAGCTAACTTTGACAACTGAAATAAACATTAAGATTAATATCTAAATAAATGCTCACAATGGTTTTCCTGTGTAATACACTTGCTTTCAATTTTTATTTAGATGAAAACATCTTATAAAAATTTATACTTTAGAAAAGCAATTGCTAAATATTTAATAGGAGAAGGAAGGACTTTGATAAACATTCTCAAAAATACAATTGTTTTTATAATAGGAGAGGTAAAATGCTCTGAATATTTCAGTAGTTAAGTGAACTCATGAAACAGTTTCCTGTTTCTTAATATAGAGAAGAAAATTTGATATCTGAGAGCAAATCACTTTAATACCTGTTTCACAAATGAAACATGGCTGTTATAAAGTCTTTTAGATTTCAGGGAAGATTACTTTTTACATTTGGAGCTTTAACAGATCTTGAGTGCTACAAAATCTTCATTTTTGACTTGTGAGATAAATTATCTATAAAAATACTTTCATATTGAAGTTTAATATAAGGATTAACATGTTGTTTTTTAATTTCATTCATTGTTTCTGCAAATGGACTCAATGTATCTACTGATAATGTGCTTTCAAATCTTTCCTAAATCTTTCCATTTCTTTTCCGTAAAGAAAAAAAAATGTGTGAGAATATACCTTTTCTACCACAAGAGGGCAGCAAAAATCTTCTGCAGTAGATAGAATTCTAACGATAACTTCATCTAATTTGACATTTTTTGATATCTTTCTGAGAAGTTACCTTAAGTTTTCTTTCCACAGTGAGTGAAATTTAAAGATTGTGTTATAAAACAAAAATATTGTGAATGTGGTTTAATGAATGTTTTGTGAAGGGCACAAGCAGCGGAATGACATTTTTTCTTTCAGAGGTTATAGCAGTCACAACACACCTGCTATTTAACACTCATGGCTTAGACAAGGACAGAAAGTTCACATGAGAATGCCAAAGTATCTTGTATTCTGCATGTTTTACATTGTGATGGAAAAGAAAAATTCAGAAATATTAAGACATATTTAGTTTTATATTTACCATGATTATGAAATTCTGTTTTTCTTCAATATTCTAATAATCCTAAGTCTTCCATGGGTAAAATAATTACCGCAGAAAAGCAGCCAAGTACTGAAAATGACAGCTATAGTTGTTTTTTGACAAACATAATGAGAAACCGTTAAGCAATGCGTTTAGTTAAAAAATCAGTTAATTTTATGTGAAATTTATCCAGTCAAATGTGTATGTAATTTATAACACCTTTATAGTTATTTCTGTATTACAGAAATCTCTTTTAAGTAATGCAAAGAAGTTGGATGATCTCTTTTTTTTTTTTTTTACGTTCCAAATATAAATGCTTCAAAATACAGTAAATGGTCTCACCCCATCAAGAGTCCAGCGTGTGCCTGGGCAGGCGGTAGCGCTCGGGTTTAGAACGGAGCTTCTTTTCCTGCGGGTTGGCATACTTCCACTTGGAGGGTGACATTTTAAGCTTTTTCCTCTTCCTATCTGTGCACCATACTTTCTCACAATATTCTTCCACTCTCTGGAAGTTGCTATAACCGATCAGTTGCAAGAATTCTTTGTACCACGGTTTTGCTCCCTGCGAGGCGCTACTCTGGGCGGGACAAGGCATCCTGCGAGGCTTGTCCTCATCGTCCTTGTGAAACATGTCCTCCACTTTCTCCTCTTCCACTACCTCTAAGGTGATTTTACGGGCAGTATGGACAAAGCTATGCTCTACTGTCTGGCAAAAATAGGTTCCAGCATCTGATTTTTGTAACCTTAGGAAGAGTAAGCCAAGGTCCATCTTAATCACTCTGTCATCGGTCTTCACCTGCAAGAACACAGAAGTAAAGGGCACTGAAGTACACAGGAGAGAAAAACAACAATCTATCACCCTTTCCACTACCAGTCTTGAGATTTTCCATTTTCACTATCACATAATGAAACCCTGAAAGTCATACATACACAAAGATGCTAAATAATCACATCTGTGTGTGTGTATTCTGAAGATATTTACATTGGAGGCCATTTCATATCAACGACCTTCAGATCATTTTATATCAATATTGTAAAGTAAGAGAGCTTTCTCCCTAACGATTCAATTAATCATTAGAAAAAATACATTTCAATATAGCACTCACAGAATGATAGGAAAATTTCTAAAATTTATTTTTTGACATTTGTTTTTCATGGACAGAACAAATACCATTTCCCACATTCTTTCAGGGATTATTATGCCTTCCAGATTATAGGGACCAATGTTTCTGTTTCCAGAACTGGGCTACTTTCACTTTGTCCTCTTACCAAAAAAAAAATCATCAATTAATCAATTCATTGAACATCCCTCACGTTTTCACTGGCTGTCTTTCACTGGAGATTAAAAAACAAGTCAAATCCAGTTCCTGCTCTAAAGGATCAGACATTCTAGCAAATACTAAGTTTTTATATACCTTCAGTGCTCAAATATCTTTTGTCATGTTTTTGACATAACAAATTACTCACATTTTTCTAAAAATAAATAATTCAAAGTAAGAAGAGCAAAATAAGGCTTTCAATGAACAGCTCATATTTTATCACAAATAGCTGGACTAGTAAGCAAATGATTTGACATTAGGCAGAGCTAGAGTCAAATATTGGCACCACTATTTATTGTGTGATTTATGGGATTCATGTATACTTCTTGCCTTAGTTTTCTTCTTAAAATGGAGATGACTTAACTTGAAAAACTGTTGTGAAGAATACATAAAATAAAATAGGTGAGGGGTTTTCACACAGTGCTATCAATAGCTACCTCTCCCTTCTTACTATACATTCATCCAATTAAAAACAATCATGTTTTCCTGTGGCCCAGGATCTTCTGATGATAGTATAAAGGTGATTCACAGTATGCAGACAGATTTCGCCTTTCAGAAAACAAAAATGAAAGCAATATTCATCTTTGTCAATACAAAAGAAGTGCAGAGGTAATAGGTACAAACTCTTTGGCAATAAAGTCTATTAATGATAGGCATGTTTTTGTCCCTGTGATAGGTCCTGGCCAGGATGGCCAGACTCAGCTCTTCCCTGCCTTGATTAGACCTGGCATGGACAAAGTTTCAATGTGATTACTCAGGTGTGGAAACTGGCATCCACAAACCACAATGGAACAGATGGCAAAATGAAGCAGCATAGCATGGCAAGAAATTGGGATGTTATTTTTAAGTTATGTGGCGTCCCAAAGGCATTTTTTTTTCAGTCATGTAAAGTAAATTAATTACTCAGAAGCTTCAGAGTGACCCAGTTGTGCTAATAAAAGAGGCCCCATAAGTCTTTTGTAGGTGCTTCCCTTGACTTGGCAGGAACATGTCCTGGTAGCAGAATGCTATAGCCATTAACTGGAGAGCGAACTCCTCCAGGGAGGAACCAAGAAGACTCTCAAAGCAAAACCATCTTCACTACATAGAACAATCTGTTTTATTGATAGGTTTTTCTTAGAATATCCTTAGCACGGGTCACAGCCAACAAACTCTTAAAGGACTTTGTGTACCTCTGATTATTTACTCATGCTTCCAGGCCAGGCGTCTGAGCAAACTTATTTTCCACCACTGGCTTTCTCCATAGCTTTACCAACTATTGCAACAGGTGACCACCTTGTGCCTCACATGATACTGACTCTGAAGTACAGCCTCCATTGTTTTAAAATTGATTGCTGCGTTTGATAGAGATAAAACCTGCCTTCTTAAACATCTTCCACTTATCTGTGGTGTGTGCCATTAGACTGTCCTTATTTTCGTTACTCTTTCCTGGTTTCCTCTGCAGATTTCTCATTGCCTTTATGGTGCAATCTTCCTTCCTTCACTGATCTCACGTTTTATTTCCATTCATTTGATGGCACTTTTATTTCTTTGTTTCAGCCAGCTTCCCTAAAATGGTACATCTTACACATAGATAATCCACTGTTTTGTGTTGTCTATTGTTAAAAACAATGGATTTGGTGTTTTTAACTAAAGGAAACATACATAAGCCTTTAATACATACAATTCAGTGTCTTTCCACTCTAACTGCCCTCCATTTACTAACTTCCCTATTTCTGACCATGACATCATTATTCTAGTCTCACTATCCTCAATTGTTGATGGTTTATACTTCTCTCTCATTACATGCTATCACAACTTCTATCTACATTTCTTCAGTGGTGACTCTTAAACACATCCCTTCCTCATCACCATTTTTGCTGCAATGATAAATTGTCATACCTTACAACTGTTTCTTTGATCTTATCTCATGGCAAACTCCCCAAATCTTTCATTTATTTCTCTTTTTTCTTTCATACCCAGTTTGATTCTCTTTTAGGATCTCTGTGTATATCTCTGCCTCAAGATACTTCTTTAAGGCTGGTTACTTCTCATCCTGCACAACTGAATTAAACATCATTTTCCCAAACTAGCCTCTCTTACGCCCCTGTAAAAGTGTCCTCCCTCCTTTATTACCATCATTTCACCTGTTAACCTTCATACACGAATATGCAACATCACACGCAAACATCTAACAATAGTCCTTCAATTAATTTTCTTGTGGCATCTTTTCCCACTTATTTAAACAAATGGGCACTAATTTACTCTTCTTTAAAGCTCACTTTCTTTTGTCAACATCCTGATTTAGAACTTATTCAGACCTCAATTTCTTGCCTGAGCAGTAAGAATTGCTCCATTAACCATATCCTACCTTTCTAAATCTAGATCCCAAAATTGCTCAATGTAGTGTTTCTCAAACCAGGGTCGGTGAAAGAGGTACATTTCTGGAGATCTGGAGAGCAACTCTTCTTAAGAATTATTAAAATTATTATGTTAATTGGTACAATAATATAAATTAATAAGCTATATTTGGAATCATGTGAAAGATCAATCTCAGTGTTACTATGGATGTTTATCATACATTCTGAACCACTTTCAAAGCCTTGTTTCCAAATGATAAAAAGAACAAAGATGGGTATAATATGTTAATGATAAATTCCAGCCAAATGAAAACCAAACATTCCCATGTAGTAATACACATAAAAAGTTTCAAGGTCAGTTGAATAAAGTGCTGGTAGGATTGAGTCATCACATGGTACAGCTAGAAGCAGAAAGTGTTATATACACACATGTGGCAATCTGTGCCTCATCTTACAGTCATAGAGATACGTATTTCAGTGAAAACAAAATACACAGTAAATAAAAATTTTAATGATGCATTAATTTGTTTATAATGTATCTTTAATTTTGGTTCCATATTTTAATCAAAGCTACAAGCATAAGGAATGTATGTGTTGTTTTATTGTTGTGAATATTTAATGAACATTTTAATATAAATCATGCTAGTAGCCCAGGAAGATGTTTCACTTTTAAGGGCGGGTGGTGGGGGCAACCTGTACATTGCTAGAATCAACCCCTCCTTTTCATAACTCAGCTGCCATTCCCCTGTATCACCACCTTGCTTTCCACTCCCAGCTCTTATTCTGAACTTACTCTTTTTCCCTCAAGTAAACTCCTTTCTACTGACTACATTTGTTTTTTCATTTCCTTCCAGGCTTAACTAAACTTTCACTTCCTTTACAAATACTTTCTTTATAGCCCCTGAAGATATTTTGCTTCTTTTTGTAACACAATAGCATTTACATTTGTAGAACAAAAGCTGTTATTTATATTCCTCTTCAAATTATTTTTCCATGCAAGTTTCATCTCTTCAAACATATGTTTTTAATGAGCAAAGACCTATTTCTTTATGATTCTGAATTATTCTGTAATGAATAAAGAACTCAGAAGACAGTGTAAAATGAGAACATACTAATTAATTTATAGAGGCAAATGTATGGCAATGGGGCATACCCATACAGATACTAACAACTTCCAGGTAAATCCAATAATAATTTGAATAAGAAGGAACAAACATGGTTTCAGGAGCACTTAGTAACTGATAAAAGAGGGCTATATCACAGATATGTCTGAGGACATTGCCTTTACCTGAAAAAAAAAAAATACACACAAACGTCCTCATTGAATATGATCCTTTGTTATCTCTATTTTATCTCCTGTGAGAGCGAATAATACAAGAGAAAATAAGTAAATCATCTAGCACTTAATGAAAGTATTTTAAAAGAAAACGAAAAGCGAAACTTAAAATAAATACAAATTCTTGACCACTCGAATTAGGATTGTTTGTTTGTTGCTTGTTTTAAGTTTGGTATTTTAAAAAAGCAGCACTTAAAAAAAAAAATCAGAAATCTAAGCTTGAGAAACACTGCATTATGTACATATAAAGTGCAGGCAGTTAAGATATGGAATCATGACAATTACCAAAGAAATTGTACTACATTGTTTATTTGCATGTTAGAAATAGTGCCTCTCAGAATTTTGATCTATATTCTTGGTTAAGACAAATCCACATTACAATGTTAGGAATAGAAGCTGTTTTAATGCTTGGTCTGCATGGTCATACATTAGGTAGGTTAAACCACCTAGAAAGTTAAATGTATCTTACATGGGCTATAAATACTTAAAATATATAAAATGACTTAGAAATTTGTATTTGACATTCTTCCACAATTTAGTCTTTCCATGTTAGTTTACTTGGGTATCTCTAACATCAAATTTTGATTACAAAATTGTTTTCATCCATCTGTATTTTTTTCTATGTCTGCAGACCAGATTTTCTCCATCAAGAAGATAGTGCATAATACATCATTTCTATCAAATAATTTTACAGACAATCTAGATAAATACAAAATTTTTTTCTGAAAATGGTTTTATTATTCTTAGCTATAAAGATTGATTCAGCATGTTTTATAATTTCTAGTAAAAAAAAGTAATTTAA